GCTCCAACCCCTCTGGTTTCGAGGGGATAATGGAAGAGAAAATGGAAACTACCACCCTAAACCCTAAACCTTAAACCCCACATATTAGTATACTAATTTTGCAAAGGTGCGACTCCGGTGCAGCGATGCCGACATGTTGCTCACCTTCGCGGACTCTGACAACCCGTTTGCTCAAGCTAATGTAGACCCCTGATTAGTAAACCCCCTCCTTTTAAGGGCTAGGGTTTAGGGTTTAGGGTTTAGGCCTTAATACTAGGATCCCTAGTATAATCCCTATTAAGGGAAGGGGGTTTATGAATCAGGGGTCCGAGTCATTTTTGGAACATCGGCACAGCCCACAAGCCTCCACTGTGAACCAATGCCTGCAGCATCACGATTGCTCATGCGGGCTTCACAACCTAAACAGCTTATAGTCCCCCTTAAGTAGATAGAATATGGGGTATATGGGGATCTTATTATAATATACCCAAAGCCATATTCTGTCTACTTAAGGGGGACTATAAACTGAAAGTAGGCCATGACGAAAAGATGTTTCTAATTCCCAGCCTGATCTGCATGGGCCGGGCGTTGAAGCTGCCTGGCTGGCGTTCTCGAAAGCTATTGCCGATACAACATGCTATAACATCAATGCTATGACTTCAAAACCTTCCGCAATCGAAATCGCACTCTGTGCTTGCAGCCAGGTCACCCAGCTTGCGGCTCGCGCGTCTCGCGATATTTTTGTGTTGTGACTTGCTCAGGCTCTGGTACAAGCTGATCTCTGTGCCAAGGGGACTGTTCCAAATGCAAGGCTGTGCTGGTGGGGAAAACGCCTTGGGCAAACGCGTGGGTTTGGGGATTGCTGGTTACGTGCTGTATCTTCTGCTGGCAGTCGTGTCCTGTTGGAAGATGTGTCTGAGGTGTCATTTGCAGTGGGGGTGGTCGCAGATGGGACTGTGTACGCAATTCAGCGTCTGCCTGATGGCATTCGGCCAAGGAACCCGAAACAGGCAGCGAATTTGCAAAAGTCTGACTCGGAGGGAAAGGGCAACTGTGGGATGCTGGCGCGGCTGGCGCAAGCGGCGCTGCCATGGTGTGGCCGAAGGGTGGCGGCAGCCCGAAGGGCACCACAGGCATTTGCAAATGCCCAAGAAGAGTGCCAACCGTGCCCACCGGAGGTCGTAAAAAGGCAGACTCTCGTTGCACGTTCCTCCCGACACTCTGTGATCTCTGAAATACAGGCTTGCCAGGGCTCGGCCGCGCAAAGGCTGGGATGGCAGATGCAACTGGGTCAGATCCAAGGTGGCAGTAGGGCGGATTTGAGACCTCCATTCCCAACATTTTTTCGGAAGGCCTGGGGGCTGGGAGAAAGGTCTCGAATGATGGCGGAGCATCCAGTCCCAGCTGTCCCAGCTTGAGAAGGGCGGGAGCCTGTAGTGCATGGAGCGCAGGCGCAGCAGGCTTTCCCTCGATCAACGCTGTGCCTCCGTGCCTTTGCCGGTCAAGTCTCCTCGAAATTTGCACTGGTCGCCCCAGTGAACCTGCTCGCCTGCGCGCTGCCAGCACCTTGCTGCTGTCACCATTGCAGTCCTGCTCATCATCACTTGTCCCGCTGCGCACGTAGCGGTAGCGTGGTGGGGTGTCTGGCCGTCTTCCAGTCATACCAGATTGCAGTCGGCCAAGCCATGGCACTCAACCCTTGTGAGATCGTCCCAGCACGGTGCATGAATGAAGCGTGTCATGTTGGAAGTAGCTATGGAGCTCGCTCAGGATAACACACAAAAATGAATATGCTGCGGTCAGTTGTCGCCTACTCAAAAAATCCTCACTTAGCCGTTACAAAATCACAGGTCCAGCAACTTCAGCAAGGGGCTCAAGCTGAACAGCATGTCCGTTTTCAGCGTGCGGCTGCATGTCGACAGATTTTGCTATGGAGCCAATGCCTGCAAACGTCTAGGGTTTAGGGTTTAGGGTCGTCCACCCATAGATCAACAGTCCTACCGCAGCTCGCATCCTAACAGACTTGGCAAGTGTGCTTCAGAACCCAAAGGAAATCCAGGGACATTGTAGTTTCCTTGAATAGGCTACCCCAATATTAGCTCCAAGATACGACAGTCCTTATTATGAGAGCCCTCCAAACGATACCCGTAAGTTTGGGAGATCTCCACATGCGGTCAAGAGAAAGCAAAACACCGCAAGTCGCTCCTTCGACTTGCCTCTTCTCGACATGGAGCTTGGCCAACTGTGCTTCTAAGGCTTTATCATGCCAGACTGCGCCGTCTGGAACAAGGCTGCAGAGGTGTGTGCCTTACCCTGCTGAGGGTCAGCAGGAGAATATCCGTATCTACATTATCTACTATATAGAGGTTTTCTACGGATCATTCTCCCTTATGCCCTACTATAACTCCAATATATATCCTGTTCTAATATACTAATTTCCATGTTCTTTTCCATGATCCCTATATATAACCCTAATATCCCTTGTAGTGCTTCAGCCATGGGCATGGGAGGTGCTTTGATCGTAGACGACGCTGAGCATCCCGAAGCACATCTGGGATGCCAATGTTGGTTTGGGCTGAAAGCCGGTGGGTATGCTCTGCATTCTCTCATAATCTCGCATATCTTGAGCAAGGACGGACAGCGCGCTTTGCAGCGAACACGATGCAGGCATCCGAGTGACCATGATGTCCTCGGGCTTCCGGCCAGTGTACCTGCAACATCAGCTCTGACATGGAAGTGCGCAGCCTAAACCGCAAGGTGTTGCCGCATCGCAAAGTGCGATGATCATGACTTGTACACCTGGAATGTGTTTTCCTGGCAGACCACTCTTCCCCCTAAGGCATGTTAGAGTAGCAGTTTATGTATTCATCATCTAATGAACGCAAGTAATTGAGTAACAACCTGAATGAAAATGCTCGGAAGCGGAAATTAGATGGGCTATCGCTTTGTCAGGTCATGCAGTTCGCTTGCTGCTTCCGAACGTGCGTGTCGCAATGATGCACCATGCCCTAAACCCTAAACCCTAAATAGTAGTTTCCATTTTCTTTTCCATTATCCGAATATGGCCCCTATATAATCCCTATCTTATCCTTATGTAAACCCTAAACCCTAAAGCCTAACCCCTAAACCCTAAACCCTAAACCCTAAAGCCTAAACCCCTAAACCCTGAAACCCGAAACCCTTGGCCTTCTCACATCTTCTGCACATCCAGAAACGGGTCGAACACGAAAGAGCTGCCGGGCAGGAAACTTGCAGAGTTGAATCACAAGTTTGCACATTTAGGGTTTAGGTTAGGGTTTAGGGGCTTTAGGGTTTAGGGTTTAGGCGGTTTAGGGTTTACGGGGTTTAGGGTTTAGGGCGTTGACAGACAAACAAACAAGCCGGTCTTCCTGTCATCCAGGAACATGACATCCACAACCAGCATTGCACCCACCATGATCGTTATAGATAGCCAGTGGGTCCAGTACCTCTCGGCACTTCTAGCATAGAAAGTCTTTCCCAATTTACCGGTCAATAAGAAGGGGGTTAATAGGGCCCCAGAATTGCCTTGCAGTCCCCATAAGAGACTCTCCCACATCCAGCAACTTACTGGTGGTTAGTAGGGAATGAGGGTATTGAATCCCTATATAATCCCTGTATGATATAATTGCCTTAACTAATCCCAGTACTGCAGTACAGGGGCCTAAATGATTACCAACTTCATGTTGAGGTCCATTTGGGGTACCACCGACCAGAATTATATAGGGAATATGGAACCATAATATTGGTAATTATTTAATATGACCCCCAATATAACCCTAACATAACCCCAATATACTATAGCAGTTTCCATGTTCTTTTCCATTATCCCTTATATCTAATATTGGTAATTATTTAGGCCCCTATATGAGCTATAGTCTACACTCCTAGTATCCGCCTTAAAACCCCCTATAGTAGTCCCCTATATAATCCGCCTTAAAACCCCCTCCAGTAGTCCCCTATATAATCCCCTATATAACCCCCTTTAAGGAGTTTAGACTATGGCTCATATCCTATAAATCCCTAAACCCTAAACCCTGAACTCTACATAATATAGTAGTTTCCATTTTCTTTTCCATTATCCTTACTTAACCCCTAAATTACATTATAGTAGGTACCCCTAATTTTGGGAAACCCTAAACCCTATATAGCCCCTATATATCCCCTATATAATCCCCTATATAACCCCCTTTAAGGAGTTTAGACTATGGCTCATATTAACGCAAGGTTGGAGCCCGCGGTGGTCACTTGGTTGCCGTCGCGGCAACAGTTATCACGATCAACAGAGCCAGGAGTAGCAAAATCCTGGCACATTGGGTAGCTGGGCAAGATTGGGTCCCTCTTCGGGTTCTTTTATGATAGGCGCCTACTATTTAGGACATCCATAAATGGACCGACCATAGCTTGACGACCGCGCGATATCCGCATACTTGAGCCGCACCCTGCAAATGGGGAACTGTCAAAATTATGGTCCCTTTTTGGGTCCCTATTATAATACGGGGCCTAATACGGGGCCTAATTTAGGGGTCCCAAAAAGGGACCATAATTTTGACAATTCCCCAAATCATGCAGCAACAAAAGGCAAAAGCCGCACCCGCCACGCTTCATGAGCGACATCAGGCGGCTGTCACCTGCTGCAAGCGATAGGAATGATAGTAATGGTAATACTGCACGAATCCTGAGAAGCAGGGTTGAGGAGTGTCAGCCAGGTGCGGGTTAAGCTTTCCAAAACGGCTGCACAGAGCTTCCCCACTCTCAGCACGCAGATTGTGGCCTAACAACATACGTCACAAGGCGCTGCTAGCGTCCTAGAAGCCCAGTGATACTCTGCTAGGTCGGGCGGGGGGGGTGCAGTCCAAAGTTCTGAACATGGCTTCAAGAACAGTGGTAGCCCTCAAGCAATCCAACAGCTGCATTTGGCTCCGTCTGGCCTGGTGATCCACTTTCACGGCACAGCTACTTTCTAATATCTCTAAACACCTGCCTGAGCAAAATGCAGCAGAACCCACACCCGCTTTCTTTCAAACACCTGCACATGCTCAAAGGCAAGCATCAGACACCAAGCCAACAGAAAGCAGGTTTTCTGTCGCCATGGGATTCCAAGTTGCAGGTCTGATCCTCAGTGAAGTCGTAGGGGCCGGCATCTGGGACATCTGCTTGAGTATATTGCCAAGCCGCTGTCTCCACCTGGCCCTGCCAGCCGCCCCACCAATCATCACAAGGAGTTTCCTGCCAGTCTTGCCAGCAGTCCTCTTGCAGGTTCTCCGGCCACCAAGCCCCCCCTGCCTCAGGTGCCTCATGTGCCTCATGTAGCTCTGTGGCATCTGCGTCTTCAAAAGCCTCCATGCCGGGGACTCCATTGATTCCTCCTTTCCCTCGCTTCTTGCGCCTGGGCTTGGTGCTTGGACGACTTACGGTGATCACATGGGGCTCACAGGCCAAGTAGAACCTGGGTTGCCGTCAAGCAACTTAAGCTGAAATACCAAAACATGATATATGTATGTGGTAAATAATGATGTAATATAAGTATATAGTAGATAATGGGGCTTTGTGGTTAGCGTACTTGAATTCAAGCTCCTCAACAGCAACCCAGAAACTTGCCAATCAAGTAATTTGCGTAGCCTTCGGGTCTGTTGTTCTGTGCTGACCATGGTCCACTGGGAGGGTTCGGCTTGTTGACCACCGTCCGCTTCTGCGCATACAACATGGTAAGGCCGTCAGCTGTGTAATACTCATCAAAGAAGCTCATCTCGGGCTTTTCCACAAAGGCAGGGAATGTAGACCAGCATAGCTGATGTGCGGAAAATTCCACGTAAGGCCCATGGTCACCATAAACAATACCTAGACTAGGATTTAGGTTTAGGGGGTAGTGTAGGGACTAAACATGACCATGTTCAATCTATCTTATGTCGGATTCAAGTATACCACTAAGTCCTAAGAGGAGCTCCAGTCTAAACTCAGAGTGCCCCCCTTCATGAGCCCTGTAATCCTCCCCTATATAACTTTAAAGAATTTAGGCCATAGCTCAAATGCACATAAACACAACCCTGACACGGTCATAGCACTATAATCCCTAACATGGGGACCAAAAGGGGTACCCCTAATTTTGGGAAGCCCTAAACCCGAAACCCTAAACCCTAAACCCTAAGCCCTAAGACCTTAACCTTAAATGCAGCCCTGATACGGTCATAGCCTCTTCCGATTGGAAGACCAGTGCTGGTACCGTAAAACTCGGTCCAAGCATCCCCGAACTCCGCCAGGCCCAAGCTATTCTCAACTCGGGACCTGGGTTTAGGGTTGAAGATTCTGGATTTCAGTTTTCTTTTCTTTTTTTAAAAAACCCTTCGGACTTTTACGTCTGCACGAATGCAAAGGGTGTCTTATGACCTTGTTAGCCTATTCCTCGGTTTGCACTCCCTTCGAAGTGACCGACCTGTGGAGAAGCAAGCGGACGGTGACAGCCGAGGATTTCGGGTTTAGGATTTAGGCTTTCGGATTTAGGGTTTAGGGTTTCAGGATTTAGGGTGAGGCCCAAAGAGGGTCTAATGGAGGGTGATTTAGGGCTTCTTCAGGCCAGTTAGGGCTGAGGAGAGTTCGGCTGGGGGCTCGTAGAGGATCTTAAGATATCAGACTGCAATCCAAAACTATCCGGGGGGGGGGCCTCACCAAATAGTACCTACGGATCCACCGTTCATGGTTTAGGGCTTCGGCCCTACCACAAAAAAGTGAGCTCTTGGGGCTTAGGGATTTTAGGGCTGCTGGGGTTGTAGAGGGAATATGAGGCTTGTCGGGGATTTTTGTTGGGGTTGAAGCTCCCATCTCACTGCTGGCTAGACAAGGCAACCGAAACTTCCAACACTGCCAGAAACTGAGACTTAATGCACTTACTGGCATCACTTAGGTGGACCCCCCACCCAGAAATAGTGACTATAAGGGACAATTAGGATTCTATTGGGGTCCTCGTTTGCTCCTATTATGCCACTATTACAAGGTGCGGGTTCCTCCTAGGCATCACTATTGCTATGACTACGACGGTTACTGCAGCACAAACCATTATTCACTATGCTTGGCGAAGGCTCTTGTCTCGCTGACGATTCGGAGCAATGGCTGTCGTTGAGAAGACCCGCACCCATTGCCTCAGGTGGCAAACTGTCATCAGTGCGCTCTTATCTCTGGCCCCCATCGCTCCCTGATAGTCTGCATAGCTATGGCATATCCGTGAATCGGACGGTGGCACTTTGATACTTGTCTGAACTAACCAGATGAGCTCACTACTTAGTCTTGCATCACAACCAGAAACCCATGTGAGAGGCGACAGGCCATTGTCCCCACTGCACATCCACTGGGGATGTACTTCACCAGAGCTATCAGAGCAGCATTAGCTGACCCAGTAGTCCCACATCCCCACATGAGTTGGCACCCCAGCTTCGTGATCAAACGCAATGGAATATGATATCAGCATGCGCTGAAAAGAGTAGCCAATGACAGCATGAAACACAAACACGCGCGCCTGCTGCCATCCGTAACCCACGTGCGAGAATGCGCTGCATGAGGGATAGCTCTTCACCATGAGATTTTCAGAGGCGGAACTTACGGTGCTTTTTTTTATGCTGCACACAGCATCCTTTAGGCATTTGCTGGAGTTCTTTATCGCTGTTGAGCTCTCGTTCAAGTTTCTGGTCTGCAAATCGTCCTTGTCGCTATTGAGTAGTACCTGCATGGGGGCTCCCATAAGATTGATGATAATGTACCTACAACCAAAGGTCTGCCGCATGTATAGAAACTACCATTTAATCCCTCCCACATCCTCCCAGTGTCCATTTAACATTTTAATTTCTTTTCCACTAATTACATGTGAAATATCTATCCATATTTATCCCTATTTATCCGTATGGAAACTACCACAGCAAGCCATGATGTGTCTGCGCGAAGGAACCCTGTGGGCGTTGCTGCCCATTGCACGTGAGTGCCAGCTCGACCAGCAGGGCGGGCACTTCCTCCGAGAGGGCCACATTCGACCAAGCGGATCCTGTTCGGGATGTAGTAGGGCACTTTGGTTCCTATATTATAGCGATATGATGGGCGAGTGACGAAAACCCGTGTTGTCCTATTTCGCGTTCCTCCCTGTGCTACATACTCCTTGAAACGCCAACATGTTACATCACCTCTGTCGCACTATTTCACGGCTTCTGTCAAAGGCTATGTTTGGAGGGGCTTCTGCGAAAACCGCTCTCAGCTACCTACCCTGTGTAACGAGTGTGGGCCCCGGGCCTTTTTTACAAGCCCATGATTTTGGCACGCTCCCGTATAGGGTTATACGAAGACAGGGGTTTGGAGGGACATGCTTGGAGTGCTTGGGGGCATGCAAATCACGACCCACCCCGCCTTGTCTTGGCTTTCTCAGACTGCTGCTTCTCACTGTCAGAAGCCTCACATCATGCAATCACTCGCGCGGCTTCAGTCTTTGGCAATCATCCTGAAAGCATGTGAAGCCAAGCTAACATTTCGGTGCCTGTGTAGCCACCGTGCTCATCTTCCAGTAACGTTGCTAGCACAACATGCTCGCACGCGCCATTAAGGGTTACTACTGACCTGCCGAAAAGAACTTGGAGCCAAAAGCAGCGCCTGGTAAGCAAACATTTTGCTCATGCTTGCAGATCTGGCAACAGAATAGCCGTGAATTCGCAGATGGGTAGTTCCCAAAATTACGGTCCCATTTTGATGCCCTTAGACATGAGGTGCCGTAGTACAATCTATAGCCAAGGAGGTCAATAATTTGAGAACATCCCACATACGTTGCACGCGTTGCTGAACCTGCTGAAGCTCTTCTCTCTGGGCTCTAGGCTGGGTTGCTGTTAAGGAA